GACCCTGGTACTGCGGAGGTCTTCACTGGGGAGGGTTTGACATGGTAAATGGTCGAGGAGGCTTCGAGGCAAGCTTCTGATCCTAAGAGGGCCACTCGAGCAACTTCTTCCGCTGGTACTTCACGAAGGGAGATAGAGGAAGAAGAGGTAAATTCAGAAGAATCTCTAGAAGAAGAGGAATATGTTGAAGAGATTGCTGATTCTGATGATGACTGCCTCAATTCTGATGCATATAAAAGCAATGAAAATGATGATTCTGATTCTTATTGATGTCTTAATAGTCTTCTCTTTTCTTTTGTAGTAACTTACTAACTTTATTGCACCATCTTGGTTTGGGCTTTAGACATTTGGACGATTTTATTTTGCTATGTGGTTTATTATTTTTTTGCCTTTTTGGACTATTTCGTCGTGTGGTTTACTAGTTTTTTATAGTTTTGGAAATCAGTTTGTTGAAGACTTGGAGAGTTGGAGACTTGGATGTTATTATGGTATATTTTATGAATATGGAATATAAAGAATATGAGAGTTGGAGACCTTACAATAGCCTATTAGACTTTTAAATGTTTTGTATGGTTTGAAATTTTGAATAAGTTTATTCTCAACCTGCTTACCTGAAAGGTTGAGACATGTGATATGTTTGTATATAAAAACGTATGTTGCGAACTTGCGATATTTTCAAATGGAATAAATTACAAAATTTGACACAAATATATGCATATATGTGCATTTGGATAGCAAATATATAAAAAAAATCTAAGAATTTGCACCACAGGGCGTCGGAGGTTCTGGGCTCCCGCCTAGGCACTGGGCGCTGGGCGCCGAGCACCAGGCAGGCCACCTAGGTGCCGCCTAGCGTTTTTTGAAGCCTTGTCTCAGTCAAGACCATAAGTGGTCATATCTCGTCTTACTACTTCCATCCATGTCCTTTTGGGGCTTCCACTTGTCTTTTTAGAGCCTTCCACTTGAACCAAATCGCCTCTCCTAACCAGTGTTCTTCTAAGTCAACACTTCAAATGGCCAGCCCACTTAAGTCTACCTTCCCTCATCTTATCACCTATTCGAACCACCCCGTAAGTTCTCTCGAATGTATCCATTCCAAATTCTATCTTTTCTTATCTTGCCACTCATCTATCTCAACATCCTCATCTCAACATTAATATTAAGACAAATACTAAATCAAAAAATGCATGCTATATGATAAAGGGTGTGGTTTCCATAAGGTCGCAACCTTAAACAATCCATTTAAGGCACACCTTCAAATTTTATCATAACATATAATTTTGATTAAAATATTATTAAGATTATGACAAAATCTAGTTTCAAATCTAATTATAAAATTTTTAACTCCAAAAATGATTAAAATCAAGTAGATCTATAGGCATATGAAAATCTTTAAAATGGACGGTCTAGATAATGTGTTGTAAGATGCACCTTTTCTGGGAATCAAAATCTTTGGTTTTTTCATAGTCATACATCTCGATGTCGAGATGATCAATTAGAGGGTTTGTCAATATTAAATCAACCTTTTTTTTATGGATTTTTGAGGTTCATCCGTAGTTCTACATTTTAAGGTTGCAACCTTATATAAACTTTTCCCTAAGATAAATCACATATTGTGTTACTCTTTATATTCTTATAAACTTTTTTTAAAATTTATATTCATTGCCCACATATGAACTGATGCATGACGAGCAGCATCCTGCATTTGATAACTTCGGTCATACTCTCGACCTAGACTCTTGACCTTAAGGATTAATGCTTCCTAAACCTATCCCTTATGGCTTTATCTCACATAAGATGATCAGACCCTAGGAGCTTTTATAGAATAATACTCGAGCAAAAGGTAAGCTCTCCCTTCACAAATTAGGAAAGCGAAATCACTCACCAATAGAAACAGTAAAACAATTAAATCGCTCACCATTGTAGTGTGCTATGCTCATAACTGCGCATCATCCTCATGGTTTCATGATGACCCAAAATGACACCCCAATGAGCCTATCATGATGGATCCTACCACAATGATTTTTTTGAAAGAGTCCTACCACAATGATTTCCCCCTGCCACTAATGCATGTTTGTTTCTAGAACACATCCCATTGGTGCACAAATTGGCCAAAGGCCTCTTCACTATCGCTAACATCCCGAAATTTTATTTCATAGAAAAATTTGGATAAAAAATCATTTTGAGTGAACCCATAAACATAAGTCTGCCCATCACTAAGTATCCAAAATTGCCTTGATTCAAAGTCAAAACGAACATATATTGTGAAAACCATTTCAATAACAATTGGGTACGTTTGGGCCAACAAAAAAAGAAAAAAAAAAAGGAAAAAGAAACACCCTCCTCGGCACAAAATTACTAAAAATACCAAAGGCATAAAAATCAATGTCATAAACATCGATTCGGAGATGAAACAGGTGGAGGCACCGCTTCAGGTCAGACCAGTCAAACCAGGCCACTTCACTAGTCAGACAAGTCACAAATTTAGAAGCTCAGAAAAATTATAAAATAAATTGAAACCAGAGGGGAAAACCTAAAAAAAAGAATTATATAAAAATAAAAAATAAAAATTTTAGGAACCAATCGTATAGAATAGTTTGAAAATTATAAACAGACAGTAAAAACAAAAAAACAAAAAAAAAAACAAAAAAATTGGTCAAAACCAATTTGAACAGCCCGGTTTCCGAAGGATCGAGCTCAGACCAATTCGAACAGCCCAGTTGCGGACCCTAGACCGACCAGTTGGGGGCAATTGTTCCCAGTCCATACCAAATGATGTCTAATTCATTCTTAATAACATTGACGGAAATTCACATTTGAAATAATTTCTTGGGTGAATTTATATAAGCAAATACTTTAAACTTTCATAAAGGAACTAGAACAATTCCACAGGCCGAATGTGAACATGGATATTCAGCATCGTAAATTGCTCCAGCAAAAATTCAACACCTTTTTTAGTCTCAACTCTAGTTATCACAACAAGCAACTAGAACATTTTGTGACAATCAAACCTTGCACATTGAATCAAACCAATGGTCAATCAGTACTCACATCTAGGAAGTACATATATAATAACTGCCGTTACAACAGTATAGACCACGATCAACAAGTAAGCATGTGAGGACAAAGTTCAAATCTTGAAATTGGAGAGGAGACCCATGTTGAGTCCAATTTGGATTCCAGACTTGGACTCTGTAATTCTCCAACATCTACCAAATTATCAAACAATTCAGTGTTCAAAAACTCCCCGAATCCAACTAGGACTCAGCCGACATAGTTGGACTCAGAAGCCTGGCAGGTCCAAAAGGGCCCCAACTCATTGGTGGCCTGTACTGCAGCATTACATGCCCGAGTTACTGTAGCAAATAAGATGAGTGGACTTAGACAAGTTTCCGAGTAGGGTGTGCATATTACATTATATGATATAAGTAGCAATATGCTCAATTCAATTCAAGCAACAACTAAACATTTTGTTGGTTAGTGCTTGCTGTCCATGCTCTTCATGTTAGGGGTTTGAAACCCCTCATGTACCACCGTACCACCTGATATTTTTCTAGTAGCGGTTTCAAAAAATAGCCCATGGTGAGATTTGAACCTCTAACCACCTAGGAAGAGTCCACACAATCTACCAACATACCATTTGAGCATTTATGTTCATGAAAAGCATGTTATGTATAATATAACATAACTTTTGTTTTTCTTTGTGTTTTTTTGTTTTTTTTTTGGGAAGGGGCTATACTCGGGCGAGTTACTTAGACTCGCCCAAATAACTCGCCTCAGCCAATAGGCAAGTACCTTGGCCCTCAGCCAATAGGCAAGTACCTTGGCCGAATCGAGTCCCGGTACCTTAGACTCAAGCAAGTCCACAGAAACTCACCGAATCCATAACTTTTTTTTAATATAAATAGGGTGGGGAGAGAGCAAAATGCCAAGCCCCATTTCTTCGATTTTTATCATCAATCGAGCTTGTGTCACCCTGAAACTTCCCAATCTCCTTAAAACTTCATTCATTAAATGTATTTTCCATCCTCTATCGAATCCAAACATATTCAGCAAAAAGAATAAAAAATCTTGGATTTGTGACATTTTTTCAATTGAACAAGGATTTGGCCAAAGTTGTTTTCTTGCAAGATTTTGGCAACCGTAGCTCCATCCACCCTGAAAATCTTCCCTAAGCCTATCTTTGTGTTATCAATCGAATTCAACAAAAACACTCAAAATCTACGATTTGCAAGAAGTTGAATATCAAAATTGAATAATCTCAAGTGTGCGCCAATAAAATTAACTTTCATTAATTTTCATTTTGTATGTAAGTTATTTTGATTGCTTCTAATTTCTATTCCTGAATTTTCCAAATTTTTGGTATTTTGTAAGTCTTCTTTGAAGATTCAGTCATTCGGACTCTCTGAGCTAACATTCTCAACTCTTTGAGTCCTACCATGAGTCATGGCTTTAGAACACTTAAATAATTAGAAAATAATACGATGGGAGAAAATAAAAAAAAATAAAAAAAAATAAAAAGGTAAGATAGCAATTAAAATGAAAAAAACAGCCAAGAAATCATACAATACCACCAATAGTGTGAACAGTAGCTGGAAACCAAGAAAAATTTGAATTTCAGTTTCTTGTAGCCTCTAATAGCAAATAAATGTAGGACTCGTAGCATCCTGCAAGACTGAGTTATTATTTATACATTTATTTTATTTATTTATTTATATATTTATTTATTTATTTGCATTTCCTTCCATAACGTAAAGAGAGTTGGCTCATCAAATTTTAGAAAAGAATTTGCAAAAAGCAATCTTGTTTTATCCACGTGCATTGTTCCCATGCTAGAAAAAATTATATCCATTTGACTCCAATGCAATAATAAATGCGAGGTTTGGTTAAATATATGAATGAATCATCATATAACAAGAAACAGGAGCAGATCACATAGGTAACCAAAAACCTCTATTTCAATGTTAACGGGGCATAAAGTAATAAAAAGAACAACTTACATTCTCATTTTCATCAATTGAGAGTCCAAGCCCATGATGAATTTGACGATCAAGAACATTCAGTAGTCTTACAAGGGTATCAACAGGAACCAAGTGCAGTAAATGCTTTGAAGAAATGGCCAATATCTCATTCAAAAGCATTTTTGTATCAGAAATAGCCAGACATGGGACCGCTGTCCCATCTTGTTCTTCGTAAGGGGTCTCTGCTCTTGAACATATTTCATCCAACATATCACAAAATCCTCCAATAATGCCATCTAGCCAATTGAACTAACTCAGAATTAATACGGTAAAACATATCCCAAATAAAGTTTGAACTCACGGCAGCCAGACAACCATATACAACCAACCTTGGTTATCACGAAGCTCTTGCTCCTTCAAGTAGGAGCTACCTTCACTGCGTTTCTTCTTATTTTTTGAACTTTTAGAGGAACCAGAACTCTGCACACTCTACATAAGAACAGAATTCGCAACATAAGAGAAGACCCAAGAAATTTTACAGGAAGCCAACGTGGGCACTATTCCAAAAGCCTATGCATGAGCATGTTCACAATTGCAAGCTCAGATATGTATGCAAGGAACATGTCCTTGCTATTTTAATAAAACAGTGCTGCATGAGCATTTTGTGACTGAGAAAGATATAGGACTCCTATAATGCTGACAATTTTGACTAAACAGAAACGTAAAAAGAAATGATGGACTGTACAATTCCCGGATATGATTCTCTAAGGGGTTAATTACAACGAAGAGGCCAAACATCAGATTTCACATGGATGTAGAAATAACTAAATCATCAAGCAAATGAATTAATGACTAATCCATAGAGTAATTATGTGTGATTGACATCAACCCAAGACTTCTGCAAAATGATACAAGGACCGTTTCACCATGATACCGTGTTCTTTGCTAGGTAGAATAGGGATCAGTAAGCCAACAATGGGAAAGGTGGAAGTCCCAGCGCCCAGTAATGTCAATATAGTTCATTTCCTTTAAAATTAAAAAAATGAAGAAAATGCCTTCAAATCCATCAGGCCTAAGAGGCAGCAAATTCCCACGTGTTCAGAGATATACCTAATCCAGATTCCAAATATTATTGGCAGCATTAAACACACTGCGTACAATATAAACAGGAGGAATTCAACAAACTAAGATTGAATTTAAGTATGATCTTCATATAGAAAACCTCTAGCAATAACATAAGGAAATATGGCTTATTCATTTTGTCCTATAATTTTCCAGAGTCACAGATTGCAGAACTACTGGTTTCTGCGATATCTAAACAAAGAAGTATAGTAAATGAAACAAAAGCCACTTTTGAGAAACAGCCAACATAAGTGGCAAAGGATAAATCAGTGTCTTAAGGGAACATTCACTGTAAATTTCATTCAGAAGCACTTCATTAACTTGAGAAATTTGAGCAGGAGCCGCACATGCTACTGTAACTACTGCTCATATTCAGTAAATTTTTTATTCTACGACACAACTATGAACTCCTTATCGAACCAAACAATCTAAATCTTTGATTCTAAGTAGGGTTGGCAATGGACCCGGACCCGGACCAGACCTGGGACCCGATGTCCGGACCCGACACGGGTTTGGGTATGGGTCCAAGAATTGGACCCAGTGGGTCGGGTCCGGGTCCAGATATTGGACCCGAATAGTGTTATCATATAAATATTATTTAATATATAATATTTTAATAACATTTAATTAATATATAAATAATATAACTACATATTTTTAGTTATAATATTTAAATAATACATGTATATGTTTAACATAACATTTATATATATTTAACATAACATTTAAATATATTTGTATTTAACATTACATTTAAATATATTTAAATATATATTTTTAAAAAAAATTGGGTCGGGTCCGGCCCCGTTGCCACTCCTATTTCTAAGGTACAACTACGAAACCCTTATCGAACCGAGTAGGAGCCTCAAATGCTACTGTAACTACTACTGATATTCAGCAAATGTTAGATTCTAAGGCACAACTACAAACTCCTTATCAAACCAAACACCCCCTCTGATTCTAAGGCACAACTATGAACTCCTTGTAGAACCAAACAATCTATATGTTTGATTATAAGGCACAACTATGAACTCCTTATTAAACCAAACACCCTTCCTCCCTCCCTTCCTCCCGGACTCCTTATTGAACAAAACACCCTCCCTCCCTAACTTCCTCCCGAACACCTTATTGAACCAAACACCCTCCCTGAACTCCTTATCAAACACCATCCCTCCCATCCCCTCGAACTCCTTATCAAACACCCTCCTCCCCCACCCCCCAACTCCTTTTCAAACACCCTCCCTCCCTCCCTCCGCCCCCCCACCCCAACTCC